TATAAACAAGGACAGCAGTAGGAAACTGAGATCAAATTAAAATCAATGCGGTATAATTTACCTTCAAGATCTACATATAAAACTAGAAATGTCCAACGATTGAATGTAGTCCAATAAATTATTCGGAGGACGTAGCGACATTTTACATATGCACATAAACGGTGCTTTGATCGGGCAATCGACTTGGACGAGCGTACGTTATTCGCTGCTATAGATTATGAACGTGCAACTCTTTCAAAAACATCATGTGCTTCAAATGTACGTTTTCTTTATAGTTGTACACACGACTAAGGTATCGCGATACCAAACTTTGTACATTTGACATGTTTGTATGTTGTAGTTGGAACAAACAAGACAATACCGAAGTATGAACATAACTGTGCTTCAATCTCTCAATCAATGAAACAAGGGCTAATGAAATATTAAAAACAAATGTCATGGAGATACTGGAAAAAAGTGTAACTGAGGATATTTGTCATCTGCGTCATTGACGACTTACAAAAAAAGGAAAACTACATACATAGGCACACACAGCCATCAATTAAACTCCCTGGCAAAGGGAGGGATATACATAACGGAGGCAACCAAAACGTATGTTTTTCTTCCTTACCACTTGCATTTTGTAAATCACGGACACTCATTTGTATTAGATACAGATATATTTGAGATTTTATATGTATGCGAAGTTGAGTTGGTCAGTGACCACGATAATGCGTATGTTTTTGTAAATTGAGATTTTAATAATATGTTGATAAATGCAGTGTTATTTACACATATTAATAACATCATCCTGTTGACTTTGTATTCACACTCCCTAAACTCCAGATGAGACAGGAAACACACCACAGGGAACTTCCTCTACTTCTCCAGGTGATACAGGAAACATCAATCCATTCTCCTCCAGGTTAACAGTAAACATCACTCCATACACCTACAGGTAAACACGAAACATCCCTCCATTCACCTACAGGTTAACACGAAACATCCCTCCATTCACCTACAGGAAAACAGGAAACGTGCATCCATTCACCTACAGGTAAACAGTAAACATCCCTCCATTCACCTACAGGTAAACAGCAAACATCCCTCCATTCACCTACAGGTAAACATGAAACATCCAAAACATATGTTTTGGTTGCCTCCGTTTTGTATATCCCTCCCTTTGTAAGGGAGTTTAATTGATGACTGTGTGTGCCTATGTATGTAGTTTTCCTTTTTTTTTTGTATGTCGTCACCTACAGGAAAACAGGAAACATGCATCCATTCACCTACAGAAAAACAGGAAACATCCCTCCATTTCCTTCCAGTTGGACCAGAAGAAATCCTCCCTCCCTTTTCTAGATGACAAGAAAACTTTATCAGACAAACAAATAATAATACCACCGGCGTTTAAATAGTTGTTTTCTTACCTCACCTTCGAATTTGCGTCCCTTTTGAACGCTTTCCATTCAACGTCTTAAAGTATTGGCTTACTTGTCGCTTTGACAAAACACCTAGAAATATTTTTTTACTGATAGAAAAGAAATATGTTTGGTTAGATATCATTGCTACAAAAACTACATATTCTTTAGAGAACAAGTCATGCGCAATGGTTGTCATGTATCATCTGAATTGATAAAACGGCTTCTGAGATAACAGCTACATAGCATATCATTTATCATCAAAGAACTTGAAATTGAAGGCATCAACAATTACACCTCACAAGAGTCATATCTTGACATTTATCTTCAGTATAGCAAAAATGGTAGGCAACAATCTCTGTGAAAATGACAACACAAATTTCTGGATTGCAAACTTTCAAACTGAAAGATAAACCGAACCACTGAACTTAAAACAACGACGAAAAACTAGACATAACCAGATTATCTGGCAGTGTGAGCTTTGCCATTCACAACATTGAACCCAACGACCTAAGATATGATGAAAATGACATTACTTGTGGCTTCTGGTAGATAATGTTGACATGCAATCATGACGAAATCGAAGATACTGGTATGATTAGACTACTTTAATCCTTTAATGTACGTCAAAAGAATCAAGCGGAAACGTAGCATAAATGTTATCTAAGTGATAGGTATCAAAAAGTCTCTATATCAGGAAATCTATCTGAGGCCGAGAGGATTACCAATGGAGGACCTTAGGGCTCAATCATTGGTCCTTTAATGTTTTTAGTATTTATCAACGATTTACCGCTGATAACTGCTTGCAGGACAGATATGTACGCAGACGACTATACACTGTCTGCTTCTGGTAAAACAGTTGATCTTGTCGGAGCGAAATTAGAACATGATTTAAAGAAAGTGGAAGATTGGTGTTCTGACAATAAAATGATTGTTAACGTAGATAAGACAAATGTATGGTTTTAACAACTAAACAGTGGCGCTGTAAGTTAAGTGAAAATGAACCTAATTTGATATTTAAAAATGTGAAAATACAACAGGTACAGACTGAAAAGATTTTGGGAGTAAAATTATACCACCACTTATCTTTTTCAGAATATATACATTTTATTCTGAAGAGGGTAAGTTGTGGATGAGGGCTACTCCGTCGTATCAAAAAGTATCTGTCAGTAAGTTGAAGGTTGCATTTTGTATACTTCTGTACAGTGTGGGGAGGCTGTACTGATAATATCACGAACATAAATATTATATAACAACTAGTTACCAACGTCCACGTTGCTTTACTTTTTAACCCCATCCAACGTCTCATTATGTCGTTTCTTTTGTGCATTTGTCCAAATCCTCGCAATATCAAATTAAATATCTTGAATCCAATAGATATTATTTGATCAGATACCATTAGTACAAAGAAAATGGATTAAAGCTTCGCCAACGCTGACTTGCTGTATACCCTGTCTGTCCTGTATGATTCACAAATAATTTTTGAGATAACTTGAAACACATCAAGGACTACTCTGTATCAAATTCCTATCTTTGTATTTAAACGTTATCTTTAAAAACAAACACAAAGTTAAAACAAAAATGAGTCCTCAAAAAGCCCCATAATAACGGAGTCGAAATCAGGCATTAAGTAAGAGAACAAAATAGCTCGCACCAAACATAGAACCTATCGTGACATATATAGTCAAATACAGATGGTTATGAAGTCAACAACTATCTAAGACACGATAATATACATTCAATAGCGCTATGAAATATCATAATCATGTTGTGTAACGAACGTAAAATGTCTGAATGATAGATTGAAAACATGAACAGTCTTTCAAATAGAAAATCAACTGTAACGTGTAAATATTATTAACATGGTAAGCTGGCATATTGCCACGGAGGGAATTTAAATGAATGGTCATCAAATAATAGAAGTCACTTTTACCAGAGTTATCAATACTGTCTGTGTTATCAACCTGATAAAAAAGCGTATGTGTTTTTAATTCCTGGATGATAACAAAATAGTCTGGCCCCACGACAAAAACAAAACAGATACTTTACAAATGTTCTTTGTCTTCATTTAGTTTTCATCGTTTCTTAGACGGAGAATCTAACACTCACTTGAGCCCCCACTGTTCCTAATCTATCACAATTAGTACTGCAGTATAACTGTAGGCACGGTAGTCTAGTGGTAGGACGCCGGGCTCGTGACCGAAGGGTTGCGTGTGTTCGAGTCACAGCACGGCACTGTGTTGTATCTTTGAGCAAGATACTTTACTCCGCTTGTTCCAGTCTACTCAGCTGTAAATGAGTACTTGGTTGGGCAGTGCTAGAATTGTTGAATGCTAGCTGTTAGCGCCGAAATGGCAGCTCCGGCTGTATGCTCCCCAGGGAGTTGAGAAAGATATTGGGTGGTTGCAAAGGCCCTATAACCACGGATAATAATTTGTTAACCGCTTTGAGACGACCTACTATTATTATAGTTGTGTAAATCGATTGTCATTTCCACCTTTCAGGATCCTCGTACCACTGCTAAAAACTAAAACTGTGAATTGGAAACTTTTTCTTTTATTTATTTTTTAGGCCATGCCGATAACTTTTCTCATTTAAAACACACACCTTGTAGACTAAACAATATAACCACCAAGATAAAACCACTAATAATAAATCAACAGCATTGTTTTGTGTGTAAAAGCCAGCGCGACGATACTAGGATTCGAACTATCAAGCTCAGATAGTTATACTGTCAACTTTACACACTGGGTTACCTGGGCAATGCTTATACACTTACCTTATGTCGCTACAGTTATGTTCAAAGCAAAACTAAGTAGAGGCTTCTGTACTGTGACGGTGTTCTCCAACTTGAGAAGCTTTCCCAACATTACATGGAGATCAATATACCAACAGGAATTCTGAAGTGTTTTGCCTTCACTGATCCCTGATGTATATTTATACATAAAAGAATACAAATATCAGCTTACTATTATAGGTACTTAAATACAAGTACTATATTAATATAGTAAACAAAACATCGATATGGATATTTGATTTTGACTGGGGAGGGGGTATGCTGAAATAAGCAGGACAGCCTCGAGTGTTCCGCTGACGAACAGAACATCAACAACAGTGAAATATATAAATGTTGACATAAAGTGGTGTACAATAAGTCCCCATTTTTCTGGCCTTCCCCAGTTCCTGCTGGCAAAGCCTCAAATGAAAGATTCCGAGGCAAGTGAAACTGGTCCCGATTGGGATAATGATATTGTGTTAAATTATTCTTCTATCAAAAACATAGTTGCCAACCAGACTGATATTAGAATAAAATCAATTTAAAAAAAGGTAAAATTACTAAGGTGAAAACAATTACCCTTTCATATCTCCAAAGCTTTCCTGGATTATTGATATTATTTATAGTGATGTTTTGAGCGTTTTTATCGATTTATTTAAACCTGACAAGGTGATCCATTAAAACAATAAGGTTAAACTTACCAGTTTACTTTTTTTACCTTAAAATGTCAGCTATATTTCATGCTATACCAGACTAGTACAGATATCTATTTTATTTTTGTCACATGACAAGTACAGAGGTTGAGCTATCAACTGATAAAACATTTCAAGTCGGGCGGATGTGTGCTCATTCAGATCGATGAACATGTGTATGTAGTTGACAGTGAACAGAAAAATGTAAGTATTCAAATAATTGTCATACATGATAAAGCACATCACCAACATAAGTTTATTAGATTGATAAGCTGATTATCAAATCAGGTGAAAGAATGATCCGATATTTTTTATGTGAATACGCCTACCACGAGTACAATGCATAATGGTTAGTATATGCATGGCTATATCAATATATATATTTTTTTATTAAAGATGAATATATCATTGAGAAAATATATGTATATAGTGATAAATGTATATAAATCATGAAAACATCCGTACTGAAAACCGACAAAAGCAATATAAATTGTACAGTAAGGCAACCTAAACCGAAAGTACATCATACACATATTATCATGGTAAAAGACAATAATTGTCCGACACTTACACTGCATAAAAGCAGTATAAACTACAATATTTATTGTTGACACCTACGAAATAATCAAGAACACAACGAAATGAATTCAATAGATAATAATATGCTTTATTTATTCTTGATAACATATTGAGCATGAAGCTCATCTTACGTATGGTCAAGGTCAGATTATCAGACACATTAAATATATGATATTTAACAAAGTATGATCTAGGGGGTGGACTGGTGAGGTATGGGATTGTTTCTAGTGGTCCTGACATCCTTCTACACTTTAATATATGATGCAAATGAACTTACCAAACCGACTTCCTCCCTCTCGACCCATTTCTTGAAATGATAGAAATTGGAAGAAATCTGCCCGCCTGCCTCCGACTCGCCGACCGACCTTTTTTTACCTGCCATTAATCATTTAATAAAGTGTTTTGTAAGTTTGACTCTGCTGCTGGGTTTCTTGCAAGTTTTGACCAGCGCTTTAATTATTTATATGCTACTTTGGGATGTGCGATATATACAGCTGGCGAGAAATGCCAAATTCATAGTAATAGTGGACAGAATAGTGTGCGGCTTGCAACCGTTATCAGAATCTAACATAGGAATATCTTTCATAATTACAAGGGCATACGTTAGATAGATAGAAATGACATGGCAAAATTGTTTTCTGTCAATGTTGGGATGACCTTTGAAACCTATATCCTAAGTAAAAAAATGTTTGGAGACAATGGTAGTTGATGTTCCTTATCTCTGCTTTCAACTTTGAAACTTAATGTAAACATGTAAGTCTCATTTTTGAAATGCTGTAGTTTTCATGAAAATTTAAAGAAATATGCTGTCAGTGACATAAAAACTAGGGAAGCATCAGTTTAAATCCTAACGTATTTTAAAGTATAGCTTCCTGTATGATAAATTCTAGCTGCAAGGTAACAGTCACCCGAGATTATCACATTGCAGAGAAAATATATAACTAGAAGCATGAAGTAAGGTAGGATATATTGAAAAATGTAGTAATTCTATGCACAATGTAACCATTTACCACACCAAAACGGCCATAGCGTTTTTATGTGTTCTGAAACATATGCAATATTTGTAGTTATTATATGCATACAAATTTCTCGCAATCACATTGGTCGGATCAGATACACGTGACCAGTCCTCAAAAACTCATGTAGACTGGTTATCCGGTGAATATCGATTTCTAAATATAACCTATATGGAAATTCCCCGGAACCTGTCGTAGCGCATGCGCAGTTAGACCGGAACGCGATCTGTCAGACGACAATTGAAGATGGCTGCTGGCGAACGTTTCTCCTCCGTTACATCAGAAAATTACCAAAACTGTTCAAGGATAAAGATGCTGTTAACATAAAAAGGCCATTGAACACGCAGTGCATGTCCTCCATGCTTATCTTAAGGAAAAAGAACCTAGACGATGTCTTCGAAAGCTACGATGCTGAACTGTTGATTCAAACCTGGCTAAATATTACACAGAGGCTTGCGTACAAAAATCAGAACCTTTAGTTTTGTTTTATTTTATTGTTGAGGCATATAATAAAACAGTTATGGGCTTTTGTGCTGGTAAATATGATGTGATATGAACCTGAAAGAGTGATATTGACCTCGGCTTCGCCTCAGTCAATATCACTCTTTCAGGTTCACATCACATCATATTCACCAGCACAAAAGTCCATAATTGTATAGTAGCATCTAGGTATCATTTCACCCCGGCTGACGGTCCGTCGTAAACATGACTTATTATTCCGAGCTACTGACAGCCATATAATCTTAACTAGAATCATCCTTGGTATCAACTAACAATTGTGCTAAAAGGACAAGAAACAGTCAACTGGCCATATTACTTTAACTGATTTTAGCCACATTTAATAATATTGAAGGAATATCTCAAAAAATACATCTTGATAACATTAACATATGATGGTTGACATGTATAGTACTAAAGTGAATTATATCTGAGTATCGACGCTTCTATAAGGTACTCTTCGGACTTGAATAGGCATTTATTTAGGACTTGTGTTAAAATCTTCTGTTGTAATTACCATTGTATGTGAAACCAATGGTAAAATTCAGGTTGGGGCAGTAGATGTTACTTTCAATATTAGATAAATGTTAGCATGAACAAAGTCAGTATCATTAAAGTACATGATAATCTTTTTACATACAGCTTTTCAAGAGTTTTGAAAAATATATTGCAACTCATTGGACAGTGATCGCTACAAATTGGAGTATAAAAAGAGGGATTTTTTTTACTATATCAGTATTGTTAGTCATAATAGTGCCGAGAGATGATGAACAGGTAGGAGTGATCCATGTAGGTTCGTGAATAATATTAGTAATGCCAAACTTGTTCATAATGCGCATGATGTGAGATTTTGGTTGTACTTTTAACATATTTTGATTGATGTCTCCAATAAGTATATAATCATTGCCAAGTGCAGTGATATTCCAAAACAGAGTTTGTGGGTCTATAGATGCAGCCTAGAAGTAATTTTATGACTAAGTTAATGTATGATAAATTAATTATCATTTTCTGTGAACATTTATTGATTGGTTCTAGTATTCTCCTATTCATTTGAACGTATGTTACATCTTCTCTATCATACTCTCTCTCTTTATATATATACATATATGTGTATGTATAAATGTATGAAATGTGTGCATTTTCTTCTGGAAAGGGCTTTAATAGGCAATGCCTGTTCCTTATCCAATTATGTCTTAAGTGCAAAAGAATTGATTTGAAATGAAAAGTAGACGTCACTTTACAATGACCATTGTGTAATTGTGAAATTGGAATGATTTAAAAATCGGTTGTATTGCTCTTCACAACATGACCACGATAAAGTGAAGCCGTCCTCCTCATTCAACACATATTTCCAAAGAAAGGACAACTAATTAAAATCAACTAAAAACGTTTGTGTTAAAAAACTAGACCATAACAAAATCATATATATACACTGCCCTCCAAAAGTTCTGTTTCATATTTTATATTTGGCTGATAAATTATCTGATTAAATGTCTTTAAATATGTTTCTATTAATGAAAAGGGATATAATGTGATTAAGATGATTTGCCATCATTGATTATCCAAATTGAATCACAAAAAGGGTTTTGTCAAACAATTCTGGTATTTCACATTTTACATAAATCTATCAGATATTTGAGAATTGTTAGATTTACTTAAATGTACGCGGTATTTAATTTTAATATAATTTAAAATGACAAAATACATAACTATTCACCATTCACTGATTATTTGTTATCTCTTATGTATAGTTGTACTATTCAATCACTTTGCAAATACTCGTGAGAAGAAATGCAGTGAATGACAAGAGAAGAACGATTCGAGTGTGTTTTTTACCATCGCAATGGTTTTGCTACCGCCCAAACTGCAAGAATTCTTGGAACCAGCAGGTAAGTGAATGTTTTCATCGCGGATTTTGGTGCATTTACATACTTTTCTTATCCAGAACCTGTCTATAGTTGTTTTACTGTTTCTCTTTTGTTGCAGACAGAACGTGTACCGGGCTATTAAACAGTTCCAAGATACCGGGAACTATGAGAATCGAGAACGTTCTGGCCGGCCACGGATTTTACCCCTCGGGATGATAGATTATTAGTCCGGACCAGCCTCAGAAATCGCAAGGATACCGTTCCTGAGCTTCGAACGGAATGGACCCAAAATGGTTCTGGTAGCGTCGAATACCACAGTGAAAAGACGATTACACAATGCGGGATTGAAAGGTTGTGTTGCTGTCAAAAAACACTTTTGACTGCTACCCATTGTCGGAAAAGATTGCCATTTGCACAGAACCATGCAAATTTGACATTGGTGGACTGGTTGACTCTTTTATGGACCGACGAGTCTAGGTTCACCATTTTCCAAACAGATGGCAGGACGTATGTGAGAAGTAGGGCAAATAAACAATTGCGGCAAGACTTTGTAGTGCCTACAGTTAAGTTTGGTGGTGGTGGTGGTGGTGTGACAGTTTGGGGTGTAATGTCCTACCGAGGGACTGGATACATCACTCCTTTGAAAGGAAATCTGAACGGAACCAAATACATTGACATTTTAGAAAACAGCGCGGTACCATCAGCACATCTGCTAGGCTATGGAAACAAATATTTCTTCCAGTATGACGGTGCCCCATGCCAACGGGCACGAAAAGTGAACGAATGGAAGGAGGACAACAATATTCTGTCTTTGGAGTGGCCCCCACAGTCCCCCGACTTGAACCCGATAGAAAACTTGTGGAGAGATCTGGGTTTTGAAGTTCGCCGACACAAGAGCAGAAACCTAAGGGAACTTGAAGCTGCCTTACAGCTTGCATGGGATGGAATACCTGCTAGGATATGTAGAACTTTGGTTAGGAGTATGCCTGACCGTATACAGGCTGTGATTAGAGCTCGTGGAGGATACACTAAATATTAATGGAATTACAATTTTTTCGACAATTTACATAAAAGCTGATTTTTGCAATATTATGTTAACTTAACATAATAAAATCAGAAATACTTGTCCAATAAGTTAGTTAATAATATATACAAATGATAATAAAAACAAGATTAGCATAATTCTGTACTTTAATTATATATCGAAAAAAGCAAATGTAACAGAACTTTTGGAGGGCAGTGTATAATACCTGTCTTGCACAAACAACAAAATATATAGGTAAGTTAAAGTTTATTTTAAAAGTCATCTTCCTGGTGAGCATGTTTTACATTGAGCACGTATGTTTCGGCAATGTCATTTCAGCTCTCTGAAACCATGGAACAGGAATCGCCACGCAAAGACCGTCTGTTGGTAGCTGCAATTGATTTTGGGTCAACTTATTCAGGCTATGCTTTCTCCTTCCTGTCAGAGTATGAGGAAGACCCAGAGAAAATACATACAAATCTAAATTGGATTGCAGGGGGCTCCTTGGCCTCCGTGAAAACTGCTACAAGTGTTCTACTGGATCCGGACAAGAAACTGTTACGATTTGGTTACGAGGCTGAAGATAGGTACAACCAAATTGTAGAAGAGTCTGAAGATGATGATATCGGTGAAAGAACCTACGAGAGATATTACTACTTCAGACAATTCAAAATGTCACTGTACAACTGTGGTGGGGTAAGTCAAACATACCAGCGGGAAAATATAGCACAATATTCACAATCAGCTGCGTTGTCTAGATCGTTTGGCAGCGTTTTGGAACCTGCGCTGGTAGGCGCTGCTTTGATTAAAGTGTTAAAGTTGAAATGATTTACTGTCACAATGGGTTGTTTCCCATCTATTGCATTATGACACATGATATATGAAGCTTAACCTAAAAAACGCTAAACCTGACCGTCCAAAATGGTCATCACCTGTCGCTCAGGAGTTTTGCTCATGTTATTATTTAACCATGTATAGAATTTTGTTTCGAAGGTTCTTACTAGAAATACGATGATAGAGGATGAAACTGGGAAAAAGCTCCAGGCAATGTTGGTAATATCCCTGTCTATCGGTTACATGAAGAATCACATGCTGACTCTTATCAACAAGAGATGTATTGGTGTGGAGGAAAACGATATCCACTGGGTCATCACAATTCCTGCCATCTGGGACGACTCCGCGAAGCAGTTCATGCGCGAAGCTGCAATCAATGTAAGCCTTGATTGTTTATTACTTACTGTAAATCTCTCAGTTTCCGTATCTATTTCGTTTACTATCATGTACTGTAAATCTCTCAATGTTGATTAAATTTAAGGCTTTTACTTTTTGCGAGTGATTGACAGCATTTTTGACAGTCCATTATTCGCGCTCATTATTGGGGAAAGAAAACCATGTAAATGAAAATAGGATAAAATTGTATAAACATTGTACAAGGGGCCTGACTTTATTGATATCAAACGAGACTTGATGAGGTGATCTGATTCAACACCGTGTCGCTTAAATCAGAATCAGAAACTGGAAAACCTGACTTTACATTTATAAAGAGACAGGCTATCACTTGGTCGGAAATGACATTGTCAGAATGGATAGCGTGTCGGTAGAAATAGAGTAACCTGACTCACTACAAATCATGAAGGACTGTAAAAGTCGATCAGGTATGATGCATAAAATTTCGATACACAACAGAGAAATCTGTCGTGAATTTTATTAAGAGCGATTATAAGAGTTTGTCGGACAAGACAATTATCTAGTAAAGACAATGTTCAACACCGTGCAAATTACTTTAATAGGCGCATGGGCGTGATTTTTAAGCATTGAACCATTTTGTATGGCATTTATGATCTAATTGAATGACACAGCTTTGCAACCAAACGACATAATGCGGCCTAGCGAATTATGATATGTTTGTTTGCACAGGTGTGTTATTCAATGAGAACATTAATGCCATACAACATCAGTTCAATGCCTATATTAACGGTTTTTCCGCCTTTCACGGTTTTTAACTTCAAAATTATATTTAAAATTAAACAAATCCACCTTACCGACAGTCTGAACAAATTTGTTTAATAACTGGAACAACGAATTGTCGCGTGCTGATTGGCTAGCAATTGTGTCTCGTGGTGCATGCCATCGAAGTCCCATCAACGACACAGCTTTCAAGTAGGTTCCATAATGACAACGCCATGCAAATGTAAATTTTAAGGGATGAATAGCTAAGATTAGATTTACATTGTGAATTAACTCATTTTCATACTTTTTTTTATAAGTGTCTAACACGCCTAAAGAAAGACATTTTACATTATAGGGTGGCATACAAGCAGACCAGCTGTCCTTTGCACTGGAACCGGAAGCAGCTTCGCTTTATTGCCAATTAGTCAAGGTAATATTGTCTGAGGAAGGCACATCGACACAAGCAGGTGCGAAGAGGAAATCATTCAGGTCGTCGCGAGCGGGCACAAAGTACATGATACTTGATCTTGGAGGTAAGGCACTTTTGAATCTCCTTGTACGAATTACATTTATGAACACCCTTCTTAAACCTGACCTATCATATTTTAAAAAGCAATATTTTCAATGCTCAGGACCAGTGAACAATAATACCTTTTCTCCTAACCATAGACTTAAAAGGTGGGAAATGCAATAGATAATCCTTACCGTCGACAAAGAGTAGAGATCCCAAAGAGTTGGTTCCCACCATTCGATGACGGCAGGCTAAACATGTATCGTACCACAATTATGTGTCAACTTAGAAACAATGAAGCCAGAATTTTTCTTGACCTTTTAAAATTCTCGATTGACACTTAGAAATCAGTTGATTAACCAAAATATAACCCATGGCCATTTTAATATAAACACATTACTTCATGGATGTCATGAATGTGATGAAAAAATCAATGCATTTGGACTACAATGTATATCAGAGTACATTATCAACACTAAAATATTTGTTTACTCATAACTATATCTGGTACGGTGGGGACATGGACACACACTATATGAAATACGAATTTTTTGTATGTTTGTTTGATGATCTCAATGAATGTACATATAACATACCGAAGTTGTAAGGAGAAGGCTTATATAGGCTTTGCCTGATGCCCTATCCTTTGCATTTTTTTCGCAATAAAATTTGTTGAAATGAAATGTGTAAGAGTGAATAAAGAATTAAATTATTGACATTAAGGTCTAATTATTTAGGAGGAACAGCGGACATAACAGTTCACGAGTCTCAAGTGGATGGGAGGCTGAAGGAGATACACGAACCCTCGGGGGGACCCTGGGGAGGCACAGCTGTTGACAGGGAATTCTTCAAATTTCTGATGGAAATATTCGGAGACAAGGCAGTAGAAAACTTCAAAAGAGGAAATATGACTGATTTCGTGGAATTATGCAGAGATTTTGAAATGAAAAAACGAACAATTACAGGAGAATCAACTGGAAAAGTGTTTCTGAGACTCCCTCCGTCTTTCAAGGAAACTTTTGAAGATAATTCAAACATCCCTTTCAATGTTGCTCTTAGCGAATCTGAGTATGGAGATAAAGTGCAGTGGGTGAAAGGCAAGTTGAAAATAGACGTAGATGTGGTGAAAGGATTTTTTGAAGAACCAATACAGAAAATCACCAGTCATGTAAGGAAGCTGTTGAACAAAATAGGCAGGATCCAAATGATTCTAATGGTCGGAGGATTTTCAGATTGCGACCTCGTCGAGAAAGCCGTTCGTGACAATTTTCCAGGTGTTTCGATTTTGAATCCCAAAGATGCCGTCCTTGCAGTTTTGAAAGGCGCTGTCATATTTGGCCACAAACCCATGGCGATTGTGTCTAGGGTGGCAAGGTACACATACGGATTTGAAGCCTGGCCGACGTTTGACCCGGAAGTTCATCCACATCAGCAGAAAGTGTGTTTTAATGGCATTGAATGTTGTAAGGAGGTTTTCCACCCTTACATTCGACAAGGAACTGTCATCGATTGCAATGACTCCACCACTTTTACGCATCGCCCGATATCTGACGAACAGAATGACATGGCAATTAACATTTACATATCGGAGAGCGAGTCTCCAAAATTTATCACAGATGCGGATGTGCGATCCCTCGGAACCCTCAAGTTTAAGCTCCCGGTTTTTCAACCCGGAATGAATAGAAAAGTACAAATACGTTTTCATTTTGGAACAACGGAGGTGTTCATTAAAGCAAAAGAAGTTGAAACCGGGATTATACAGAAAGCGATATTTGACTGCTTATAAAGACCAACAACTCTAAATCTAACAATACAGACAGATGTTTGGATGACTGGATACTACCCGTGATGTCAGAACTTGAACCTTACCGGAGCTTGATATGTTATTGAACTGATGCGTTTATTTTTATTATTTTCGTCTAAAATTTCCTTATATTTTTTCTTTAAACTTTTCCACTTGTTCATTATTTGAACTTTGATCACATGTATTCCTTCACTGTTCATCTCCTGCAATATCTTGCACCACAGCTGATCATGACTCTTGTTCCCGTTGAATGTATGGTCCATTTCAAGTCTCAGCTGGATGAAGAACCTCTCTTCCTTCTCTGTCCAGACATGAATCTGAAAGAAACTTTAGGTTTTCAACAAGAACTTGGTGAAACTGCTCCCTAGTTAAAACAATTGAATTTGAAACTAAGACAACCTAAATGAATCATGACTATTGCCAGTGCTGCCAGATATAAACAGGTCGTCACTGTCTTGGGAAGCATTATCAGTTTGTGAAAGTGAGGAGTTAAATGATGGCAAGCAAATGGTGACTTCACCTGACGATATGAAAATATTGTCGACGTTCTTGTCCATATACATGTATGATTTATCATCAGATATATTCTTCAACAAATTATTATTGGTACATACTGTGTCTTTGGCTGTTAGGCCTACTTTAGGTTCCTCCGATTTAGGCCTATCTGATTCTCTGTTGCTGTTATATATTACTTTGATTTAATTTGATTTCTGTAAAATTGGTGTTTTTCATGATCTGCCAAAAAAATATTCAGAAGTTTAAATATGCAAAGATTTATGGAGGGAGTTAAAAATAGCCTGTTACTACATCAAACAAAATGAATAAAAATGGCCTAATGCAAGTGTATTTCACGAAGAACCTAACGTTACATTGGGTTTTATACATTTCTGATTCAACCCCTCCCTTATACTGGAAATAGCCATAAAACACACCTAATAGGAACGGTTTCAAAATAAAATTGACTGAATACTTTTAAATACCTTATCTCTTAATGAATGAATGGGAGATTCATTACCAAGCTTTAATCTTTTAATCAATCGTTTAATCAAGAAAATTGAATGCATAATACTTTATTTAACGTTAGCCCTAGCTCCGAAGATTAAAACATGATAATTCATCAACAAAATATTGATAACTGCTTACCGTACAGCAGCATTCAGTACACAACTTTATCAGTTACTTTAGACAGAATTATCATTCATATCAGATGAAATCAAAGATATTAGCGCAAATCAACACAAAACCCCAATATAGGCTTATTAAGGAGTCGAATTATTTTTAAATTTTGTTTAATTGTTGTGATATATCAATTAACAAGGCAATATTTCAACTTACAATTATCCTCTCATCCATCGCCGCCATCTTTGAACTCTATTAACCTCGGGAAGAGCATGGGTTGGTATCGGGTAGGGTTCAAAGGTCAAACGAGTTAAAATCTCGCCGTTTTGTTGAAACTATGGTCTGTAGAGTTAACCCTAGAGTTTCAAGTGAACTCGCTCCATGGAGTCAAGTCCTTAATTGACCTTAGATTTTAATAGGACGTTTACCCTTTTCAACCAAAACAAACCAATTTACCGTATTCCAAACGCTCTCTCGACTTGCGCTGTCTGATTTGCTGAGATCATGATTTTGCGAACAGAAAACAAGGCGTGATTTAAATACGTTTAAAGGAGGATAGTTTGAGGTTTACTTTAAAAAAGAACCTTCACACTTTTACATTTATGTCATTGTTATTGACGACCTAGAACTGTAAAACCATTTCATTATTATCTTACAATTTATACAGAAGTAAACTGAAATTGTAATTATGTATTTATGTATTTGCTTTATTAGTGGATGCAATGAGCTATTATTTGTTGACACTGCTGCTGATTAAGGAAAAGTATGTTCGGTTTTCGACATTTTCTTTTTTATCCTATGCAATAAACTCCAAAGTCAAATAAAGCTATACTTTAAGCAGTTGAACCATCGATTATTTATTTATCAGGGGTTTTTATTTTCTCTATTTTTCAACATTGAAACTATAATTAAGAAAAGCGTCAAAAAGACTGCTAACGATATTTCACACACATCCTAGCAGCGGGCCCATCTCTATTGTTTTATCCAGTGTAATGTTGAAATATGTTCCTTTAAAGCAATGAAGACAACAGAACCGAATATAAAAACAGTTTTGAAACATTCATCTTGAGAGTCATGTTGCACACAATGTTGTTCTGGAATTTTATTTCATTCTATAAGTTTTGTTAAAATGTCACGATAACTATAAATAAGGACAGCATTAGGAGACTGAAATAAAATTAAAATCAATGTGGTATAATTTACCTTCAAGATGGACATATTAAACTATAAAGCTCTAACGATTCAATGTAATCCAATAAATTATTCGGAGGATGTAACGACATTTTCATACGCACAAAAACGGTGTTTTGATCGGGCAATCGACATGGACGTACACGCGTTATTCGCTCCTATAGATTAGGAACGTGCAACTCTTTCAAAAACATCCTGTGCTTCAAATGTAAATTTTCTTTATAGTTGTACACACGTCCATGTCCATATCTTATTGGTTCTACATACATGACAAATATAACCACTGGTTGCTGCGATCAGAAAATATTATGTAAACTGCGCGCGGCATGTTACAAGGTATCACGATATCAAACTTAGTACATTTGATATGACTGTATATTGTAGTAGAAACAAACAAGACAATACCGAAGTATGAACATAACTGTGCTTCAATCTCTCAATCAATGAAACAAGGGCTAATGAAATGAAAAACTGTCATGGAGATACTGGAAAAGAGTGTAACTAAGGATATTTGTAATCTGCGTCATTGACGACATACAAAAAAGGGAAAACTACATACAAAGGCACACACAGTCATCAACTAAACCGAGTAGGATTCTTCCCTTACTAAAGGAGAGCTATATAAAAAGGAGACAAACAAAACATATACGTTTCTTCCTAACCACTTGTATTTTGTAAATCACAAACAATTCTTTGTATTACGGTACAGTGTTATTCACACATATTAACGATACGTAGATAAATACAGCGTTATTTTCACACTTTAATAACACGAAGATGTTTTTGAAAGGTAAAATGGTGAAACATGAATATTGAATTATGTTTTACACTTCAGGAAAATATCTTTTCCATTCCGTTCTCTTTGTTTAAATCTATGTTAGAATTCAAATGCTTTCAAACGCTGTAGACTTCTCGTCAGACTGGAGCTGTTTCAAATTTGAATCAGTCATTAATGCTAGTATTTGTTTTTCTTTCTAATTTGATATTGGTGTGTTTGACTCACCCTGCTACAGTTATGCAATGCCATTTTAAATTGTTTAAAGAGGTACTAACTCTCGTAGATTTTGTCATCGGTATCATCCTCTTTCGAGTCTTCTACAAGGTCGTTGTACCTATTTTCTGCTTCGCTACCAAACGCAATGAGCTTCTGGTCTTGATCAAGTAGGATACAGGAAGCATTTTTTACGGAGGTCTTGGACACATTTCCAATCCACTTATAATATATAGTTATCTTCAGTGGGTTCTCTTTATAATCTGACAATAAGGAGAAAGCATAACCTGAATAGGTTGTCCCAAAATCAATCGCGGCTACCAACTCATTCATTGCGGTTGGAGCCTCCGGGTTTGTTTTTTCAAATGACCTGGAACTACATCAAAAAATATACATGCAGTTTAAAATCTCTCTAAAAAGTTGGGACATATCATCATTAGAATAGTAATAATGATAAAATAATTGAGAATTTCCTGGTATTTCTTTTATTTAATTTACAACAGAAGATATATGCTGGGTTTCTGTAATTAACTGTTTAAAGATATCGAGAAAGGTACATTCAAAACCGGAAAATTATTTATTGGAATATTAATGCTTGCTTTTAGCTTAATGTATCATACATATGAATCCTTTTTTTATAATAAAACCATAATATCAGTGCTTCTGGTGATGACATACATTTCTAGAATATTAGAAATAACGTGTTTATTTTTTCACTCTACGTTAAGGCTCAGGTAAGTGACCTTGAAGAAATGTTGATATAGATGCACAACATAATTTTTTTCAACTCATTCCAAATATCTAATTAAATATTTATATTTTCAAGTATTCATTCTATTAGCATTAGAATATTTACCCAAATAATGGGGGGACGATACACATACGGATATGAAGCTTGGCCGAAGTTTGACCCGAAAGTTCATCCACAGGAGCTGAAAGTAAGTTTGGATGGCGTCGATTGTTGTAAAGGTGTCTTCAAGCCTTACATTCGACTTGGCACTGAAGTCAATTGCATGGACTGTATTACATCTAAACATTGCCCGGTCTCCAAGAAACAAAAGTACATAGCCATCGGAATCTACATATCTGAGAATGAGGCTCCAAAATATATCAAAGATCCGGATGTGCGACTACTCGGAACTCTCAAATTGCCACTTCCTGTGTACAAGCCAGGGCTGAGGAGGAAAGTATGTGGACGTCTGAGTTTTGGAGCAACGGAAGTGATCATTTAAGCCGAAGAAATGGAAACGGGCATCATTCGAAAGGCGATATTTGACTGCTTATAAAGGCAGTAAATGACTCGGTTCCATATACTCTAATATGTATTCAACTTTTTATGACAAACTATGAGAGGACATGACACTAACCTTATGGAAGCCGGTAACTTCGTACGAGTAACAGGTACAGTTCTTAGCTCAAACTAACTAACATACAAATCTTTTTAGCTTAACAATGTGATAGACTGAATGCATTTCCTTGTTCTTAAGCAGGGATATTAACTTTGTTATATAAATCGCATCAGATATGATTATAAAATGCATTTACTCATTAAATATTATGCCTTGCAAGTGATTTTTAGGATATGTTTTCCTACAAGAAACCAAAGAGTAGGAAACATTAAAACGGACATGACGTCTGAGCTTACATTTCCGTATTCCAGGGATCAATATAAGGACATTTGATAGCTTTGTTTTTCATATTGTTTGTCCTAGTCTGAGTTATAAGCATTCAATAATAATAATAATAACCGGATCAAAGACGTAAAATATCACCAACTAATCAATTATGATTCTTATCCATAACAGTATCATAAAAGTAGAGATGTGTGTCGCCGACGACACTTCCGGTTACATTGTTGTTGAAACCTCATCAATAGACGTGCTGAGAAAATACGAACATGATACAACAGTGTCTGTCACATTTTGTTCGTTCAGTTTACATTACTTTCTTTACGTTTTTTGCCTCATTTTAATCTATTTCGACAGGGAAGAGTTTTTATGCATTATGCATATTTATAATTCATACTCTTTAAAGTAAATATATTTACCCAAGTGATACGAAACATTTGCAATATCTTTAATAAAATAATGCAGTTAAAATATTTACCTAACAGTGGATATTTAAGCATATCAGAGTCTATTTGCTCACCTGGGTCTTCGAACCAAGGTGAGTAAAAACCGTGCCGAAGCGTCCGTCCGTCCGTCTGTAAAAAGAATTAGAATACTTCTGCTTTGAATACCTGAATAGTATTTACAAAATTTGACTGGAAATATTATATGGTAATGAACATCTCGACCCCTTTCATCCCACCCGTATGAGAAAAATGACTAAGAGGGGTAAATTCGTCATAACGTTAAATAACTTTCCTCGGGACATATGGGATGGATATCAACCATATTTAGGATGAAGAATCAGCAGATGTTTCAGATTTGCAAATGGAGGGAAAGACACCCCCGCCCAAAACCCGATATCCTCGACCTTTTCAGAGGAGTGCAATCAAGGATTATATGATACATAGATACAAAGATTTATTTCTGATAAAATTAGGATTTTACTATCCTTTGACAGTTAGCTCTTAAATAAAGAATAATAAAAGAAAAACATGTTTCAGAAGTTGCGACGTTTAGATTTCGACTATTTTCTTTAAAACTGTATTTCTGAGCTTGTTTTTGCCAGTGTTTGTCCATTTTACATTCAAATTGTTAAACTGTGCTTGAATTCACAACATAAGACGGACGATTGTTTCATTAATCAACAGTTCTCTGTACACAAAACTTTACTTATATAATTTATAATCTTGAATGCGATTTGTAATTTTTAAAGTTGTGTCCACGTGATGATGAATTTCCCCTGATATTAAATATGTCGGATAATCGATAGTCATATTTCCCGGACAATATTTTGTAAACCTCTATCATGTCTCAATGGAATCTTCTTCGCTCCAGCTTTGTTGCTCTTGGGTTGAACATTTTCTATTGTTTCAATATTTTTTCGAGAAGAGGATACCATACATAAATCGCATAATCAATGTGTGGTCTAACTAAAGATGTGTTTAGAAACTTTAAACTTTCTTAGTGCATATAATCTATTGATCTTTGTAGAACTCCAAGAAGACGGCCATATTGCTTTAAATTACTTATCCCCTGACATAAACGGAAACTGGCCAAAATGAGTACATGTAATAATGTAACAACTTTGAAACGGTATATATATCCACCCTATAATCATATATAACACTTGCTGAACGTAAAAAGACAATACTATAATGCTACCAGGATTGGCTTCGGGGTCCCACTCCGTCTATGGGTTTCAATATGCAACCGTTTGAGATTCACATTCTATTATCATGACCTAATTGCCTTGTCCCACCCTTCAGCATTAAGATATATATACAATATTTATGACACGAAGATCACGATTTTGGTAATGGTGATGATACCTGACGCATATGATTGTCATTATGACATGATGATAACGATGATGGTGATTAGTGTCATTATGACATGATCATGAGAAGGATGATGGCTGAGTGTAAAGATGATGATTCATCCCACCCAATGTCACCTTGTCACCCTCCAGGGGGAGAAAGCCTCGTGCCGATTAGCACGTGTTCAATTGTGACGTCATTAAATTGTGTCACCGGTAATTGTGATGTCATCAAAAGTGAACGACGATATTCATATCCCTTTTATATGTGTTTTTGTTTACAAACATGGTAGACTACTGTCGGTTGAATTGTGACTGAAATAACAAGATGGAAGAAGAAAATAAATCATCCCCTACCTTGCGGGTGTAACAGAGAAATATCCAATCTTCGGGGTGATTTGTTTTCACAGAGCCTAGGGTTAGACGACCAAAAAACATCACCCTCGGGTTGGAGATTTCTCTGTCACATTCTCAAGGTAGGGGAAGATTTTATGTTTATGACATGTATTGTGATGTTGGTAACGGTGATGACACATGATAATGATGATTGTCATGATGACATGGTGTGAGTATAGTGATGACTAGGATGACTAAGTGTAATTATGATGATGATGAGATGATTACGTGTCAGTATGACACGATGCTGATGATAATGATGCTGCTGCTGCTGCATGATGATGATGATGATGATGATGATGCCTGATGATGATGATGATGATGATGATGAGTTCAAATAATGGTGAAGATGGTGAATTGTATGCTGAACTACGATTACTTGTAATGATATGTGTGTGTGTTTGTGTGTGTCATAGTGTATGTATATATCATGTCAATGTATTGTAATTGTAGAAAAGTAAAAGACTTGAAGACAATAATAAAAAATGATATATTTATTCAATATTCATCCCACCCTTCAGCATAACGATATATGTTTAAAATTGCTCAACATCCTTCAGCATCAAGATTGATATTCAATATTGCTCCCCACCCTTCAGCATAAAGATAGATATTCAATATTGCTCACCATCCTTCAGCATAAAGTTAGATATTCAATATTGCTCACCATCCTTCAGCATAAAAATAGATATTCAATATTGCTCACCATCCTTCAGCATAAAGCTTATATATTTGTACGATGAAGGACCACTAAAACTTATTCTTATTGGCATTCTTGTGATTTTAATGAATTAAAATGGTTTTTTTTTATAACATTTCATTTTACTTATTTCTTCAGTTTTATCATTATTTACTTGTTCATGCATTACTAACGGTCACTGGTGATCTGGATCATCGGGTTCATACAACAAGGACACTGGTATGTCAGCTATTGACTTACAGTCGTTAAAATTGGTATTATCTTAATCTTCATTGTCCAATCACCACGTAGGTTTCGTCATAGATAGAGATAGACATCGACGACGAAACCCCAGTTGCTATTGGCTGGATCTACATTTCAAACACTGTTTAGGTTATTGTCAGTGTACATATTTTAGCGGTATTCTAATTTTAGTCATTTCACCTTTGATATCTTGCGCTAAATCATATGTGAGCTTCTTCCTGTTTATAGTTTGCTTTTGTTTAAAGTGATGCTAATTCTGCGACGCGCTTATCTGTTGAAATTTGATAATTCGCTAAAATTCGAGTCCGCTAAAGTAAATACTGTTACGGTACAGCATGTCTCCTTTAGATGAATAGATTTAGTCAAGTACATATCTTGTTTAAGAACATAGAAACGGGGTTTATCTTACTTATCAACATGTATGTCCCATCCTTCAATTACAATGCTTAGATATTGCAATGTATGTTGTAAAACATAGTTGAATTAATCTTTCATTACAGATATTTCCCATTGCTCAAAATATAAACAAACGTGACTAGGGACAAAGAGATAGATTTTCGTTTCGAACTCTTTATAAACCGGCTTTTTCACATCTGATATCAATAAAACTTTAAAAAAAAAAATATGACTGTCTTAGAAATAAAATATAAAAATATGTTTTAGAAAAAATCAGTAAGGATGTATCTATTCCTCGCTTCATATCTTATTTGACACTCGGTTTGAACAGACAACATTCTTGTATATGTACAAACAACATTGTTTTTTTAAGACGTCCAGTTGCAGTCCTCAAGAACACGAGGCTGATATTTTTCACAATGACCTGATGTCATTACCAATATATTTAAAAAATAAAACCCTTTGTATTTATAGACAACTTGTCTTAAAATGCATCACAAACCTACATCTATAACTTAATTGCACGTAATTTAAAAGGTTTAGGGGTTTTAGTCATTCCCACAATTCCCTGTAAAGATGGTAGACACGTCGGGTCTTCAGGCAGCAACCGGAAGTTCTGAATCAGAGAAGTCAGGAATAAGAAAAGCTCCATTTTTGCCAAACTCTCACCAGGGCACAGTCTCCTTCCTGAAATAATACGTAAAAACAGCAACGTTTTTCTCGAAATCGAAATTGAAAACATGATATGAAAGTTTCATGCCCACAAAATATCAATATTTAAATTAAAATGTACATTCTTGGTCATGCTAATAATCAAATAAACTAAAATCTAAACATAAATATACACTATTATCTAACCAATACATTCGGAAATTTACATACCCTTATTAATATACGTTATAAATACATATAATTTATTACAGCGGGTGTAAAAACGATGTACCGGAACCTTCCCATGATATTAAAAGTATATAAAAGTTTGTTTTCGGACTTACCAACAGAAAAGGCCGTGACCTTATCACATCCCGTGAGTTTTCCATCGTCATCAATAAACCGTGAAGGACAGAACGTTTCCGGGCAACTGAACAATTTGGGGTCATTCAAGATAGAATCAAGGTTTGGGACTAGTATTGAACCACGTGGAATGAAGAACCCTCTAAACATCGTGTCACATGCAGATCCATGCGGCAGGGCAAGTGGAGCTATATTGGCATGGCGTAAGACTTCAACGATGAACGCTTCGAAAAAGGGCATGTTTTGTTTATCGGAGATGGAAGGCATCCGAGACCTCCCGATGACTTGATCTATTTCCTGTCTCAGTCTGTCCTGTATGTCTCTATAATGCAGAAGGTAGAGAACCGCCCATCGGATGCCTGTCGCCGTTGTTTCCGTTCCAGCAGAAAACACATTTCCGATTAATGTTGTGAGGTTGTTGTCTGCAACACAAAGAACAGAAACAAGATAAATCGACTAACATAAAAGTCAAGTGCACAACTAGGCTTGATTTGAGGCTGTGGTATATATGCTTTTGTTTATTTGAGTGTTTTTTTGTTTTGATTTTTTAGTTTACTTTGTAACATATGAAATTAAGAACCGTGGCATTATTCAACATTGAAATGGAATGGGATATTTTTAAACGTTTTTTAACACGCCTTTACCGTCTAAATTCATTTTGTTCAGGTGTGAAAACTTTAGCTAAATCACTATCAAATTAGGCATATTGTATCGACAAAAGACGAATTAATCGGACCAACATAAAAAACCGTTTAGATAAATCACAGACAAAATAGCGGACTCTAAATAACCTATCACTTTCCATAATCTCACTTTAATTTCAAATTAAAATACTTTATTGTCCCAACGCAATATTATATGCGTCTTCTTATGACCGTAGATGTTGCTGGGACGTTAAACCCGAACAAACAAAGCAATGTCTTACTATCTAAATACAAACAAAAAAATCTAAGTATAGAATGTTAATGGCCGATTGCAAGCAATTGTTGTTCAAAGTCAATTCTTAATATCTTAATACAAAAATCTTCCTATCCAAATCAAATACCACAGTGTTCAAACATTGAACAGACTTTTTGGTCACCCACATGCCGGAACACGAGACAATAGGATTAATAGAATCTATAGCTACTGGTTGTGTAAGATAGAGAAATCTCAACCCGAGGACTAAGATTTTTTTGTCCAGAACGAGGCTTGCCGGGTTCTGGACAAAAATCTTAGTCCGACGGTTGAGATTTCTCTATCTTACACAACCAGTAGCGATTGAATATTTTTCTCCCATATGTAACAGTATTTTAATGTGAAATAAAGGTAAACACTGATCCAAAACACATACAGGCAATTTGTTGATGGATTGTTGACGTGACGTCATTGTATTGTTGAAGTGACGGCATGCCATAGTTATGAATAGGGGAATCCCCCCGTCTCAACCCTAGGGCGGGGACAGATAAATCTAGCACCGGCAAAACGGGAGATAAATCTGTCAGGTGTGGGAGAAAAATAAAGACTTAATTTGTTTTGAACACAAACAGGACTTAAAAAGTTATCTCGCAATCTTTCGAAAACGTCTCCGTACTAGTCTCTTACCTGTAAAAATGGTGCTGGTGTCGCCTAAGTGTTTTCTCTGCTCTTTCAAAAATGCATCAGTAAAATCGTGGATGTTTGTTTCATCGAAGTTTGCTCGGTGACATTGGATCTGATCGAGGAAAAATTTCCTTATCTTACCACTATTCTTTATCAGTCGTTTTGCCCCAAAAAGGTCTCCCGGCAAAAATCTTAAAATAGGGAAAATACCAAGAATACCGGTTTGTCCAGCAAGTTTGAAGTTCTGGTCTAATAGGTCTAGTACACTTTCGAACGTCTTGTCGCCGTGTTCGAATCTACGACCAAATATGAGACTGCAGATAACATTAGACACACTTGTATAACTTGTATTCCTGATGTCAAATGGTTCGCCGTTTGTGTTCCCTATAACAGCTAAAAAGGCATCAACTTCTTCCATAAGCTTTGATTCCATGGACTGTTTTCCAAACCCGAACTCTCGGAGAGCGCGGATAGTGAACGCCCTAGTCTCTTTCCAGAAAGCTCCCGAACTACCGGATATACCTGTAATAACCAGAAGCATTTTATCATACAAAGATGTGGACACTTTGTTTTTGATGGAGACAAAAAATGTTTTGATTTATTTTATTACTATAATTTTGACAGCTGTCTAATCAGGCTGGATAGGAAACGTATTTCTTATTTTCAAATCAAACGATCCCTATATCTGTGTTGAAAATAAATAAATAAAAACAAAATATGATAAAAAAAGGAAATAAAATAAACGAAAAACGAAGATACAGACGCAAGATGTTAAGCCAGCGCTCTGTCTCCTAATTTTACCTAACATTTCACTAAATGCAATGTTACATCTTGTATACATCTTCCAGCTTGTCACTCTCCCTTACCTCTGCCTCGGGATATCTGCTCCATGATGTACGTTTTTGGTCTGTCCGAGAAAATATCGCCATTTCTAACAAATGCTTCTTTCAAAGCTTCGTAACCATTGAAAACGATGAATAAATTACCGCCAAAACGAAGACTGAATACGTCCCCAAAAATCTTTCTTAGTTTCCGAAAGGTTTGTAGCTGATCGTTTGATTTGAAGTAATCAATGTTTCCTAAGAAGGGCAGTGGCTGTGGTCCCGGTGGCACATTTGACCAGCGCCTCCACCCAATGTAATATCGCCCAAGGAAGAACACTGTCGACACCAGAACTATCTGGTACAGGTAATCAGAAACCGTGTGCTGGATCCACATAGTGACTCGTAACGACCTCTGGCGGCACTGTCACATTAACAGAAACTGACGCTGTCCTTTGATGATAGTACCACGGAGGAGAGAATGATCACAGGGGACTTTGTTATATGTATGTATATATAGGTCTGGCATTGAAGGCGCCTCGTTGACAACCGGAAGTATATCGGGAATATCTCGGAAGAAGTTTTCCTGTCTATTTAATCACTGATATAACACACTGCAGCGACAATTATGTTAATAACAAAACTCTTGTCGAGATACAGGGAAGTTTGCACGTATACTTATTCGTTAGGTGACAGGGACGATTGTCTAAGCTATTGACCTATAGACTGAGGATTTGACGCACATGACCGGCCGCATGATATTGGAAACGTGGGCGTTTGTCGAGAGTTGTCGACAACAAAAATATAGGCAAGATGATACTTCCTCAATTACTATTAACGCTAAGATATACACTTCTTGATCGTTCTTTTTATATACAAAAAAATTCGACAAAAGCGAAGGCAACGGTGTTGTACAGATAGGGGG